AATCTCTCATACAGTACTGGGAACCTGGCCCCAGGGGCCCCTGGACCGACGGCCCTCCAGGGACACCTGGACCACCCTGAGTCCCCCCTCCGCCCCCGGTTCCTTCTGGGGCATCCATCCCTGGAGCCTTTTCTGAGCTTCCCCGAGTTCCCCCGCAGCGTTCAGATAAGCTCCAGCGGAGTCCAAGACGTCGGCCAGTCCAAGACGGCCCAGATGGCATCCGGACGGCCCAAGATGGCTTCCAGACAGCTCCAGGACGGCCCACGATTGCCTCAAGAAGGCCCTAGAGCCCCCCCCCCAAGTCGCCCTCAGACGGCTCCAAGAGGCCCTCAAACGCCCCACAAGAGGCCCCAAGAGACTTCAGAACTGCTTTCAAGAAGCTCCCCAGAGGCTCCACAGGAGGGGCATGCGAAGCGAAAAACAGCTGACTTTCAATCGAGCCAGAGAGAGCCCAGGAGTGCCCCCCAGATGGCTCAGGAAGGCCCACGAGGGCCGAATACGGCCTCTGAAGGAGCCAAATATTTCCACGCAGGGCCCCAAACAGCGCAAGCGCCGTGAGATGCCCCAAGAAGGAAGGCCCCAAGATGCCCTGAGAGGCCACAAGGAGGGCCTCGAGAGGCGGGCCCCCAATAGAGAGCCACGCTATGGCCGCGCAGAGACCCACAACGGGATGTTGATGACGATGATGATGATGATGATGATGATGATGATGATGATGATGATGATGCTGCTGCTGCTGCTGCTGATGCTGATGCTGATGCTGATGCTGATGATGACGATGACGATGATGATGTTGATGTTGATGTTGATGCTGATGTTGATGATGCTGATGATGTTGATGCTGATGCTGATGTTGCTGCTGATAATGCTGATGATGATGACGATGACGATGACGATGACGATAACGATGACGATGACGATGATGATGATGCTGATGCTGATGATGATGATGATGATGATGATGATGATGCTGTTGATGCTGATGCTGATGATGATGCGGATGACGATGCTGATGATGCTGATGCTGATGAGTGCGATGGTGGTGGTAAAGATGATGCTGATGCTGATGATGACGCTGATGATGATGGTGGTGGTGGTGGTGGTGGTGGTTGTGATTCTGATGATGGTGGTGGTGATGACGATGCTGATTACGATGATGATGATGATGATGATGATGATGATGATGATGATGATGCTGATGATGATGATGATGATGATGATGATGATGATGATGATGCTGATGCTGATGCTGATGCTGATGCTGATGATGATGGCAATGCTGCTGTTGCTGCTTATGATGATGATGATGATGCTGATGTTGATGTTGATGATGACAATGCTACTGCTGATGATTCTGACGACGATGATGACGTCGATGATGATGCTGATGCTGATGATGATGATGATGATGATGATGATGATGATGATGATGATGCTACTAATGATGATGAGGATGATGATTATCCATGCTGATGATGCTGATGATGCTCATGATGTTGCTGATGATGATCCTGATACGACCATTAGGATGATGCCGCTTGTGCAGATTATGATGATGATGCTGATGATGATGGTGATGCTCATGATGCTGGTGATGATGATGACGACGACGACGACGATGATGATCATGATGATGATGATGATGATGATGATGATGATGATGATGATGATTAATATGATGATGACGATGATGGTGTAGATGCTGATGATGATGATGGTGATGCTGATTATGATGATGGAGATGATGATGATGCTCATGATGCTCATGACGCTGCTGATGATGGCGATGATGCTGATGATGCTGCTGATGATGGTTATGATGATGGTGTGATGACCGTGATGCTGCTGCTGCTGATGATTATTCTGCTGCTGCTGCTGCTGCTGATGATGATACTGATGATGATGATGATGATGATGATGATGATGATGATGATGATGCTGATGATGATGCTGATGCTGATGCTGATGCTGATGATGATGATGCTGATGATGCTGATGATGATGCTTGCTGATGATGGGGGTGGTTCTGATGATGGCGACGACCAGGAAGAGGAGGCGGAACATAAGCAAGAGAAGGAGGTGGAGGCCATCCGACCTGCTTATATCCACTACTCCTTCCGCTCCCACCTTTCTCATCCTCAGTATCATCGTCTTTATTCTTGCTCTTCCTCCTCCTCCTCATCCTTCTTTCTCCTTCTCCCGCTTATCCCTCGTTCCTCCTCTTCCTCGCTCCCTCTTTTACTCCCTTCCTCCCTTACTCCCTTTCCCGTACCCCTCCTCCCCATCCATGCTCCCTCTCAGTGTAGACTCCTGCTCTGCCACCTAGCCGATGGTGCTCGTGGCGGCAGCCAGCGCTCGAGGTGCCCGTAGGCAGGGGATCTTGCAGCGCCCGCGAGGGCTGCGCTGGCGGAGGCAGTTTTGGTTAGCCCCCCGAAAGAGTGAGCAGGGCGATCTGCACAGCGCAGCTGCGGCGGCGGCATCGACGATTGGCCCTCGACGCTGATCAGGCAGGGGTGGCGCGCCGTTCCCTGCCTGCGCGCCTCTTGCAGCGCATGCTGCGACATGCTCAAGCCACGATCGTGGCAAGCCCGTCGCTTCTGCTCCTCCTCCGTCGCCTCCTTCCCCTCCTCCTCCTCCTCCTCCTCCTCCTCCTCCTCCTCCGTTGGTCCGCCTCGTCCAGCTGCTTTCTTTTCGGTCCCGTCCCCACGCGCGGGCTCCGCCGCGTCTTGGGTCGTGAGCCTCGCCCTGCTGCATCCTTCTCATGATGCTTCCTCCATTCCCGCCTCCTCCGTCACCGTCTCCCCCCTCACGTTTTTGGCACGGCTGCTCGATGTGTGCCCGCGGTTGCCGTGATGCGCGCCCCCCCCGGAGGGACGTGGGCGTCGTGCTCCGAGGGGGACGGCATGCTCTCTTGGCACCCTGCGGGCGCAGCGCCGCAGCCGGCACCGTCCGTGTGGTTCCTGCCGAGCTCTCTCCCAAAGCAGGCCCCAGAGGTGACGAACGAACAACACGCACCCATACCCATTGGGAGGACGGGGAGGGCTGTGGGCGCGTGTTGTCGGATGCGGGATCCCCGCTCGAACCGGAGCCTCCCCAGCGGTCTGACAAGCCGCACCCATACCCATGGCAGGTCCTTCTCCCTCCGACCTCCCTATGGGTATGGGTGCGTGTGCTGTTCTTCCGTCGAGAGGCACCTCTTGTGGGGCGGTCTGGCAGGGGCGCCGCCGGCGTGCTCCTGGGCGTGGCGCGGGGCCGCAGCCTGGGCACCGCGGCCGCGCGCTGCCCTCGCGCGGGAGCCCCGCGGGGCCCCGCCCGCGGGGCCTCGCCAGGGCGGGGGGCCTCCCGCGGGGAGCCCCCCGGGGAGGTCCGGAGAGAGCTCTCGGGAGGCCTCCTGGGCGCGAGGGTCGCTGCTCCGCCCTCCGCCTGCCCTCTCTCTGGTGCTGCTGCGCCCTCCCTCCTCCTCCCTCGGATCCTCTTTTCTCTCTCTCTCTCTGCGGCTTCCCCTGCCCCCTGCCCTCTCTCGTGCTGCCGCTCCTTCCTTCCTCCTCCCTCTGCTCCTCAAAGCTCTCTCTCTCTCTCTCTGCGGCTTCCCCTGCCCCCCCTCCTTTGCCATCCTCTTCCAGCTCTGCCGCCCCGTCATCTTCCTCCCTCCATCCCTGTCTCCCCGTCTCCGTCTCCGTCCCCGTCCCCGTCTTCGCCCCCCTCTCCCCCTCCCTCTCCCTCTCCCTCTCTCTTGCACGCCTCCGCCGCCTCTGCCTCTCCCTTTCTCTTGCGCCTCCGCCGCCGCCTCGTTCCTTTGTTTGTTTGTTTGTTTGTTTGTTTGTTTGTTTGTTGTCGTGACGTGGACTCCCAGAATTCTAGACTCCTTAATTAAGTTGGGCATGTCCCTCAACAGGAGGGTTATTCGAGAATCGTAAGAATAGTCATGTGACGATTTTTTCGTGCTCATTTGGCATTTTTTGTTGAATCAGTATTTTCGGTCTACTCCAAAATCCGCCTGTAGGAGAACATGCCCGACCGAACCCCTTCCCCTCTCTCGCTACGAAGGGCGCCCTCCCTCTCTCTCCGTCCCTCTCTCTCTCTCTCGCTACTAAGGGCGCCCTCCCGGGCAGGAAGCTGTCCGCGCCTCGCGCAGCGCGAAGCGCGAAGTCGGGCGCCCTCGCTCGCGCCTCCGCCGATGCGCCCCTTCTCGTTGCCGCCTGCTGCGCCGGGCGGCGCGCCGCGGGCCAGGGGGGCGGGGCGCGAGGGGGGGGGGCGGGCCTTCCCTCGGAGGGCGGCGGGGCCGCCCGAGGCCCGCCGGCCTTCGGAGAGGCCCTGGCGTGGCCTCGGCGTGAGCCACATGTCGCCGACGTTCCTCGCGCTGTGAGGAGGAGGAGGAGGAGGAGGAGGAGAGGAGGAGGAGGAGGAGGAGGAGGAGGAGGAGGGGAGGAGGAGGCGGAGGCCGAGGCGGAGGCGGAGGCGGAGGCGGAGGTGGAGGCGGAGGCGGAGGTGGAGGTCCTCTTCCCCCCCCCCCCGCGCGGCAGCCCTCCGCCTTCCTCTCTCCCGCGCGCCGCCGGACAACTCGTACAGCTGGAGCGCGAGTGCGGATTGTCTCTGCCGCGCTGCGACGGAAAAAAAAACGGCCTCGGAGAAGGCTTAGGCATCTTCTCGAGGCTGGAGGCCTTCGGAGCCTTCTGAGCACTGGCGGCGAGCGTGGGGGGAGAGTGAGAAGGAGAAGGTCTTCTCAGAAGGCTCGAGAGTCCCCCAAAAAGCCTTCTGAGACGCCCTCTTTGGCCTCGGAGAAGGCCTCGACATCTTCTCGAAAGGGTCCCGATGGGTCAAGACTCGGCGGCACGCCGATGGGGGCAAGTGAGAGGGGGCGGGCCTTCTCCGAAGCTGGCAGGGCTTCTCCGAAACCCTCCGGCCTTCTCGGAAATCCCACCGCCGAAAGCAGGAGGAGGAGGAGGAGGGGGAGGAGGAGGAGGAGGAGGAGGAGGAGGAGGAGGAGCAGGAGGAGGAGG